AGACGTAGTGAGTGTGCAGATTGAGATTGAGTAGATTGGTGGGACAAGTAGCAAGGACGAATATGCAGAGTGAAGATTCGTTGCTATTTGTCCAAAATATGTTTTGAGATGGAAGAATTCAAGAACTCTTGTGCATGATCACCAGGCCCAGAGAAACTTCTTGTCCGCATGTATGAGAGGAGCTCATCGGTTCGATCGCATGTCGATTGGATCAATTGAATCAGACTTTTGTTTGAGTATGCAACAATTGAAGGATCTACCATAGCACTTGATTGTTATACCAACTTGCTTTTTAGATTCTTGTTCATGTGCGAGCGTAAGGATGGAATCCTCGGTGAGAACCCCGTCCCCCACCACGGTAATTGGCGCCCGGCTTCCCCGCGTTCCGGGGCCCAGTGGGCGCGTTTGCAGGTGGAGCACTCTGCGGCTGTGGCGTTATGCTCTTGTTGCTCCCAGGAGAAGGTCTAGCACCACCATGTTGTGTCGGCATATTATGAGTTGGCGACATTCCGCGCCCAATACCACCACCGCCTCGACCCATGTTGCCCCCGCCCTGTGGGCCGGTAGGGATATTCGGCTGCGGGACATCATCGTACATTCCTTCCCAGGACGTGGGGCCACCTTGTTGATATGGCGCAAATCCGCGAGTCGACTCAATAGCCCGGCGTGCTTGTTGCTGTTCATACTTTTGTTGTTCAAAGGCAATCTGCTCCTGTGCATTGTAGCCGGGGCCTCCTCGGTGGCCTGAGAAGTTACCACCCGGACCGCTCATGCCCATATTTGCACCTCCGCCACCGCCCATTCCACCAGGTGGACCCCCGCCCACGCCCCCACCCATATTCCCACCCATGTTACCTCCCATACCGGGGCCAGGTCCAGGGCCCATGACATTGCCCATCTGTCCTCCCATCCCATCACCTCCAAACCCAGGCCCAACAGGACCCGGACTCGGGCCCTGGTTTTGCATCTGTTGCATCTGCTGCATCTGCTGCATCTGCTGCATCATTGCTGGATTCATCATCCCTTGCATCGTTTGAGGACCGGGACCCTGAGAGCCAGTACTCATCGCTGATTGAGGCGCGCCTCCGCCCATCTGTTGCATCTGTTGCATCTGTCGCATCTGTTGCATCTGCTGTAACATCGCCGGGTTCATACCTGCCATTCCTATTACGCCTCCGGCAGGTTGGCCCTGAGCAGCGGCGGCTGCCATTTGTTGTTGCATTAGAGCAAAATACTGTTGCATACGCTGCCAGTACTGCGCCATCATCTGCGGGCTCATGCCACTTGTTAGACCTCCTTGGTTCTGGCTGTTTTGCTGCTGCTGCTGTGAATTATCCTGGCCGGCAGAGCGTTCGTTGTCCCTGCTATAGCGATCCTGATCCCTCATGCCACGTCGGGAACCCCTGCCTCTATCGTCATCGTCCCGCATGTTTCCCCGCGGCTGTGCTTTCTTGACTTCGATAGGTTTTCCGAGGATTTCCAAAGGTCCAGAGAGGGTTGCCTCGACTGCTGCTTCGCTGTCAAATGTTACAAACCCGAACCCTCGAGGTCTGCCACTATCCTTATCAATCATAAGAGTAGCATCCACCACCCGACCAAATTGCATGAAGAACTGTTTAAAATCTTGCTCGGTTGCCTCTTGGCTAACGCCGCCAACAAAAATTTTACTTGTCCGTTCTTGCTCATCTCTAGGAATGGCGCGTTTTGGATCAATCTGTTGGGTTCCCTTTGTAAGTCTAGATGCTCTCAATCGAAGCTTTGACGCACGCCAGATTGGTGCTGTATTCTCCGCTTGCTTCGCTTGAGGATAGTGATTACAAAAGGAGATACCTACAATTTTACCATCCAGATAATGTTCTTTCACCATCACCGTATTCACTGTCTTGGGGTCTTTGAAAGTGAGAAATCCGAATCCCCTTGATCGTCCCGTGGCGCCATCACGCATTACTGTACACTCTTGGACCTCTCCAAATTGTGAAAAATAATCTTTGAGTGATTCTGGTAAAACAAAAGAAATTCACAGTTAGGTAAAACGAATTTCTAGATCCGGTTCTCTGGAGATGGATTGGATACATACGATCAGTTGTCTCCCAATTCAATCCTCCGATGAACATTTTGCTATATAGATTGATCTATTAGTCATGGTTGCCCCAATAATAAAGCGGAAATCGACGGGACAGGTGCTATAATCGAAAATCAAATAATCAAAAAATAACTATGCATAAGAATACAATGTCACAATGTCAAGAGCATCCAATCAAAGAGCTGCTTAAACACGGCATCATTGCTGTGGCATCATCGGAACATAGTACTGTCCATCACCACTGCCGCGACGCTTAAATGAAGGTCGATCTCTCGATTTTAGTTTTCACTACCAATAACTGATCGGACAGTCTTCCTTTCCTGGGACACTTGGTTGTAAAGGCCGAGCTAGGTGGGTATATAGGAGTCATTGAAAGTTTTGAGTGAGGAATGATAGCTCCTTTACAAGCGGGGTTTGGTGACGGTTTGACAGTGAAGACACACGGCGCTCTGAGGAGCTTCGTCGGATATGCATGTGTGCACAGTTGGGGCCAGCTGGCCAGTATAAGATGCAGTTGTAAAATATTTTTGTGACGAGTGTATTTTTTTCTTCTGTTTTCTGTCCGAAGATCCCTCTCTGCCTTTCTAAAAGTCCGAAGCTAGGTAATGCTGATCGATATCCCAGAATTCAAGACAGCCGAAGTGTCTACTTCCTGCTCTGTTCTATCAAGATATATTGACAAGAAGCTCTTAGTAGCAGCTGCACTATAGTCGCTTGAATAACTGGCTCGCCTGGTATGGCCTTCGTCTAAGACTCTCGACTCCCTCTTCTCCTCAAAACGCGGTGGCTGATAATCCGATGCCCTTGTTCTGATCATGTCTGGTTTGCCGAGAAAACTATGTAGGGTTTCCTCCTTTCAAGATATACCCCTTCCTGCACTCCCATGTTTCCAAGTGTCCACACTTCCGGTTCGAGTCGCTTAACCTTGGCAGCATACCGCAGCCAACCCAATCCCGACATCCCTGCATATGTCCCATCAGCCGCCAAGAGATGACACACCTTTCCCTTTCACCTGGCTTTGGTTTCAAAAGTGAGGCAGGTGTACATATATTTTATATATATGGTATGGAAGGCCAGATCACATTTTCTGCAGCGACTGTTCCAAATCCCAATCGAAGACATGGTAGATATCAATGGAGATCGAGACGACTCATATACACTCCGGCATCAAACTTATAACCAGGGCCACAATGCGATGATTCCCATTTCATCATGCAAACGGCAGCATTTATGACAGCCCGATGCTCTTACAGCGACAGACGGTGAAAATAATAGCGCAAATATTCAGAATATATGCAGATACAACTTACCCATCTTCTTTAATACCCGTTCCATGACTACCTGGCTCTACATTGGCTGCACGATGCTCAGTATCCTGTGTTATTGGAGTTGACTCGTTAACACCAGTTTGCTGTTCCCCATTCGTCGCATGCTGTTGCTCTGTCTGTGTGTCATGATGGTAGGTTTGGCTATTGCTGGTGGATTGTTGCTGTGGAGGAGGCACAGACTGCGCGTTTACTTCAATTTGTGGTTGCAGTTGCGACTCTTGGGGCTCTGGAAAGCTGGGTGTAGCAGCTGGGGCAGCTGGGGCCGCTGCGCTCTGAGTGGTGTCATCTGCATCATAGCTATCCAAACAAGCCTTAGTACACGCGATTTATAACTTTCTGGTCATTTTTCGAATTTCATATCATAATATTTTTTTTAATGAGGAAGGGGAAGAGAAGACTTACAGGTCAGCGAAGAGATCTTCCTCAAGATCCTCTGGCTCAGTCATGGTGACTTTTTGGAATAAAATGGAACTGAAAGGGATGTTTTATGTCAAAGGAGCTCTAGAGCTTCAGCCGGGATCAGTTTTGAGATGCCAGCGGGCGAGATGAAGGTTGTGATGGTTGCCGTTGAGAGTGAAATGTTGACGATCGAATGAAATTGAGAAGGAAACGAAGATAAAAGGACCTGGGCGAGTGGAGGTGTTGTCTTGGCAGACTAGCCCCAATTTGGGTTGAGTCATTTAAACTGCCTTCACAGCAAAGTATGGTATTGTAAGGATAACCACAAATTGTGAGGAAGAAATTTTCAAGTCTTTCCACGGCCTTTTCCCCTCTTTTCTCTACAACTCAGCTGATGTCATAAATTTTTGTTAAGCAAAAAATTCTATAATTATTGCTTCAATACTACTGTATTTCTCTACAGTTCCCATATAGCATTATAACACTAGATAAGTTGATGTTTCGATTGTATATGAGTTCTAAGTTGCGTGGCTATTTTGGCCGGAATTGTGACAATACAATACTAGAACTTGTCCGTATAGAACACATGGCTATCACCTTGCTTCGTTAAACCTTACACAAACTCACCCAAACCACGTTCTATTTATACAACGACGGCGACAACAACAACGACGATACCCTTCGCCTCTCCCCCCTCTTCCTTGCACTGAGGATTCTCTCTCGGTTGCTCCATCCGTTCTGTTTCTAGATTTTTGAGGAGGCATCCAGTTATGGCGAGTAGAAAGACCCAACAGCAGGTATGGCTCATCAACGGACGGAACGGTCGTTTTAACCTATGCTGATTCCAACCTTTGCTCTCAACAGGAGATGGTTCAGGTCGGTCCGTAACTGCATATCACTTTGCAAAAAAATCATATTCCCTTGCTGCAAAGGATACTGCTCTTCCCAGCTTTAATATTTGCGCTTGCAGTTCTGCTAACTATCGGCCATTTCATTTGCCCACTAGACCAGACCGAGTGTGTATTTCCCCACGCCTGAATATTCTACACTCTTCTTGTCCCTCAGGCTAACAGAAATAAAGACGGGTAGCTTCTCCTTTTTGGAAAACTCGATCGTCGTCGCAGCAACCAAAGACTCATGGGGGAATTGACCCGAATACAGTTGTAGGAGCATCTTACTCTCATGCAGACATGGTGAGGTGAGTTCAAACGCTGCCCCCGTGCTCCCGTTGCGAAAGTTAACCTATTCCACGTCTGCTAGGAACATATCGCCTTATTCGCGAACACACGCATCGCCAATGCTATCACGTACTAGCAGTAACAACCGGAGTAGCTCTATGCCGTTAACGGACTCAGGAGGAATCACATCACCGCCTCGTCATCCGTACGCGAGCGTAATGGCACAAGCTGGTGAAGACTGGAGCCACGATGATGATGGAGATGAAGACGAACTCTCTTATGATGATGATGATGAGGACGAGTTTGGGCTCCCCAGCGTTACGAGCATGCGGAAAAAGAAGTCGAAAGCTCCCTCTCGACAACAGGCCCAGGTTAAAGGGAATTATGGGCGGGGTAGATCGAAAAGCAGATCAAATGGCTCCTCAAATCTGGCACCCAATTTAGGCACTTTGAGGCTACGTGCAAATAGCTCTGATATTGCAGAGGAACGAGGTGTCCTCACCTACCCAATGGCAAAGAGAGCTGACGGCAAGATCTTACGTCCTCAGTACAAGGAGATACTGACAGGTAAGTTTGCATTTCCTATCAGCAGTAGTAATAACAACTGACAAGTTATTTTTATAGATCCTGCAAACTCACTACACCTAATAAATCACTCTCCACCTCCAACAAACGGTTCACCCAAAGAACTAGAAGTTCACTTGAGTCGTATTAGCAGGATCAACAAGTTCAAACGAATTCTCCAAGCAAGCACCGTATCGCTTCCAGAACTTCGCGACCTAGCCTGGTCTGGTATTCCAGATGAAGTTCGAGCGATGACTTGGCAGCTTCTACTCGGATATTTGCCAACAAACAGTGAGCGCCGGGTCGCTGCTCTGGATAGAAAACGGAAGGAATACCTTGATGGTGTTCGACAGGCCTTTGAAAGGGCCAGCTCAACTGTTGATAAACTAGGCGAAACGGGCTCTACATCAAATGTTGGGAATGGAAGAGGTTTGGACGAAGCTATCTGGCATCAAATAAGTATCGATATTCCCCGGACAAACCCTCATATTCCGCTATATGGCTACGAGGCAACGCAAAGATCCTTAGGAAGAATTTTATATGTTTGGGCTATACGTCATCCCGCAAGTGGATACGTGCAAGGCATAAACGACCTAGTCACACCATTCTGGCAGGTCTTTCTAGGGGCATATATTACGGATCTTAACATAGAGGAGGGAATGGATCCAGGGCAACTACCCAAAGCTGTTCTTGATGCCGTGGAGGCTGATTCATTTTGGTGTTTAACAAAGCTTCTCGATGGTATTCAAGATAATTATATATATGCTCAACCTGGTATACACAGACAAGTCGGTGCTCTGCGCGATCTCACGATGCGGATTGATTCCACGCTTGCAAAACATTTAGAAAATGAGGGCGTTGAATTCATGCAGTTCAGCTTCCGGTGGATGAACTGTCTTTTGATGAGAGAGGTCAGCATCCAAAACACAATAAGGATGTGGGATACCTATATGGTAAATATTATCACCCTCGACCTGCGTTCGAACTAAATTCGCCTGACATGTTCCATCTAGGCCGAAGAGCAAGGCTTCTCCAGGTTTCACCTTTACGTATGCGCAGCTTTCCTTGTCAAGTGGTCTGAGCAACTGCTTAAGATGGATTTCCAGGTTTGTTTCTCCTAGCTTCCCTGCTCTGTGCCAGAAATATGAAAACAAAAAAATCAACTGTTAAATTATTCATAGGAAATCATGATGTTTATCCAAGCCCTTCCCACCAAGGATTGGACCGAAAAAAATATTGAGCTTCTCCTGAGCGAGGCGTTTATATGGCAGAGTTTGTTTCAGGATTCGAGTGCCCATCTCCGCTCTAGCGTTGGGACGCCCTCTGGCGCGGGGAAATGTGATTAATTCTGCTACTTCCAAATATACCGGCACTTGGAAGGGCCAAGGTACCTTAACGTAGAATCATATGTTGACATGGCGTTCATATATGTGAAATTTCTGAATATTGGGTTCCACTTGGAGAGATCAACTGAAATGGATACCCTTCAGATTAAAAGCCCACAAAAGCTTCAAGAAGTCCCCTTCGTCGCACATTCTGGCCCGTTTGTCTGCAAGCCCAGTTTCGTCCTCGAGAACTTGTCTGACCTTCTCCCTAACCAGTTCCCGTACTTTTCCTTTCTTCTTGCGGCCTGGATTTTCTTTTTGTACGTTCGAATTTAATTTCGGCTCGTCCGCAAAGAATTCATGGACGTGCATGTCATCATCATCAACGTCCATGGTACCATCCAGTCCTTCATCTGGTTCACCTTGGTCCTCCACTGTGTTCATGGGCTCACCCTCGGAATCCTCGGCAGGCCCATCTTCAACCGGAATGTTATTTTGGGCACACCATGTTCGGTAGTTCGACTCTAGCATGTCGAGAACACTAGTGGTGCCAAGGAAGCTGGATCTTATCGTTTTGTTTTTCCGCACGAACGCAATTCTTAGAAGGCCGTCCCATTCATCGTAACTGATTTGAGGACGGGGGTTTTTGGGAACGATGCGAACCACACTGGATTCTACAGCGGGTGGTGGTTTGAAGTTGTTTTTTCCAACTTTCATGATGTGGTCAATTCTTGCCCACATCTGTGCGTTCACGGACAATCGGTTGTAGAGCTTGTCACCGGGTTTGGCGAAGAGTCGCATTGCAAATTCTCGTTGGAACATGAGAATGCATACTCGTGGTGCAGGGTTGGTGGCGAGGAGTTTAAATGTTAGAGGAGAAGAGATCTGTAGTCATTATACTAATATTAATTTTTCTGTCATAGAAGTTTTTACAATCAGGGGCAGCCCGGTCATCATCGTACCTGATATGGAGTATTGCTGATGCAGACATCAAAATAAGGTAGATCAGTTTTAATAACATCACCCAGTAGAACTTCAAGCCGCTTCTGTTCCGGTTTCCCTTGAACACGTTTCGTAACTTCTGCAGCCATTCGCGGGTCCAACTCGACAGCAATAACTTTCTTCGCTTTCTCCAGAATCTTGACAGTCAGGTTGCCAGTACCGGGACCTATTTCAAGAACGGTCTATAGAAATAGCCAACATTATTATTATTAACAGTGCCCTTGGAATATATATAAGAGTGGGATAGCAAATACATCACTCTGCTTCAGCTCTGCCTTATCTACAATAGCCTGAGCAACCCCCGGATTTTTCAAAACATGCTGGCCGATGTCTGTGTTCATGCGGAAGACATTATTTGCGGCCTTGGTTTTCGCAGCGGCCTGGGCATAAGGGCTGGCCTGAGAAGCGCTATTACGCTTTTTGGAGAGCGTTTTCGGCATTTCTACACTGCTAAACCTCCGGCCACAGATAGTAATGGTGGTAATAGAAGTAAATAACGGACGCCCGTTTGCCCTCGTTCGCATCTCAAAGTCGGTGTGATTGCATTGATTAATTTTCGACGATATAACGCTTGTCCGGATTTACGTTGTTGCGGGCTCCGACAGAGCTCTCACTTTAAACCTTCGCGATGGCTCTGCTCTCTATACTCTAAGCGACAACCACCTTGCTTCTTTTTTTGTTCTTCTTACAGTTTGGATTCTGTGTCTTCTTTCCATACAGTATGACGGGACGGAGAGATTTCCTCAGCCAGCCTGCACCAGAGAACTATGTGGCCGGTTTAGGACGAGGTGCCACTGGATTCACCACGCGCTCAGACTTGGGCCCAGCGAGAGAGGGTCCCACTCCGGAGCAGATACAAGAAGCCCTTACCAAGCGCGCTCTTCTACTTGGCACAGCTCCTCCAACTGCATATGGCGCATCGCATAGGGGAGAAAAGGGGAAAGGAGACAAAGCCGAGAAGGTGATAGAGGAGGAAGACGATGATCGGTTTCAGGACCCCGAAAACGAAGTTGGCCTTTTTGCATATGGGCAGTACGACCGGGATGATGACGAGGCAGATCGTATATATCAGGAAGTGGATGAGAAAATGGATAGAAGGCGGAAACTAAGAAGGTTTGTCGGCCCCTTTTTACCATTTGTTCTTCGAAATTCCTCCCCGCTCCCTATTTTTGTGAAAGCTCTGGGTTTATCGTATCTCCATGAAGCGTTCTGGATAGATTGCCGACATAAAAAATATATATTTCTCCACCTTAGGGAAGCTCGAGAACAACAAGAGCGTGAAGAGTACGAACGTAACAACCCTAAAATCCAGCAGCAATTTGCGGACCTGAAGCGATCCTTAGCTACAGTCACCGATGAAGACTGGGCAAATATTCCGGAGGTTGGGGACCTCACGGGGAAAAACAGACGGGCAAAGCAAAATTTAAGAAGTCGATTTTACGCCGTGCCTGATAGCGTCATTGCGAGCGCAAGAGATTCTACGGAATTCGAAACCACTATTGCTGAGGATGGAACTCAGACTTCAGTGCCACGTGGGGAAATGGACGGTACAATTACGAATTTTGCGGAGATTGGTGCTGCGAGGGATAAAGTCCTTCAGGTGAGACTTGATCAGGCTGCACAAGGGTCAACAGCGGACGCTGCAGCTGGAAGTGCAACCAACATTGATCCAAAGGGATACTTGACCAGCCTCACCAAATCCGAAATGAAAGCTGGAGAGGTAGAAATAGGAGACATCAAACGAGTCCGGGTATTGTTGGAATCGGTCACAAAAACAAACCCTAAACATGCTCCAGGCTGGATCGCAATAGCTCGGTTAGAAGAGATTGCTGGCAGGATTGTGGCTGCGAGGAGTTATATTGCCAAAGGGTGCGAGCTATGTCCGAAAAGTGAGGACGCGTGGCTAGAAAATATACGGCTAAATGACAACCACAATGCGAAGATCATTGCAGCTAATGCGATTAAAAGTAATGACCGTTCAACCAGACTCTGGATCGAGGCAATGAGACTTGAATCGGACCCGCGAGCCAAAAAGAACGTTCTCAGGCAAGCAATCCTTCACATTCCACAGTCCGTTGCCATCTGGAAGGAAGCAGTCAACCTTGAAGAAGACCCGGCCGATGCACGTCTACTTTTAGCCAAGGCAACAGAAATGATTCCACTTTCTGTCGAGCTATGGTTGGCCTTGGCTCGTCTCGAAACCCCTGAAAATGCCCAAAAGGTTCTGAACGCCGCCCGCAAGGCGGTTCCAACTAGCCATGAAGTTTGGATTGCGGCTGCTCGACTACAAGAACAGATGGGAACTGCCGGCAAAGTCAACGTGATGAAGCGAGCTGTCCAAGAGTTAGCGAGAGAGACCGCTATGTTAAAACGAGAAGAATGGATCGCAGAGGCCGAAAAATGCGAGGAAGAGGGTGCGGTTCTCACATGCGGAGCCATTATTCGTGAAACTCTTGGCTGGGGCTTGGATGAAGACGATGACAGGAAGGATATTTGGATGGAAGATGCTCGGGGAAGCATTTCCAGGGGAAGGTATGAAACAGCAAGGGCTATATATGCTTATGCACTGCGCGTATTCGTCAATAAGAAGTCTATTTGGCTTGCTGCTGTCGACCTGGAGCGTAATAACGGGACGAAGGAAAGCCTTTGGCAGCTACTTGAAAAGGCGGTAGAAGCTTGCCCGCAAAGCGAAAGCTTGTGGATGCAGCTTGCGAAGGAGAAGTGGCAAGCAGGAGAAATCGACAATGCAAGACGCGTCCTTGGAAGGGCATTTAACCAAAATCCCAACAATGAAGACATCTGGCTTGCGGCCGTAAAATTGGAGGCGGATGCAAAACAAACAGAGCATGCGAGGGAACTTCTTTCAACTGCACGTCGCGAGGCGGGAACCGACCGTGTCTGGATCAAAAGTGTTGCATTTGAGCGTCAGTTAGGAAATACAGACCAAGCCCTCGATCTCGTCAACCAGGGTCTCCAGCTTTATCCTAAAGCCGATAAGCTCTGGATGATGAAGGGCCAGATATACGAGGAACAAAATAAATACCCCCAAGCCAGAGAAGCATACGGAACTGGTACTCGCGCATGCCCCAAGTCCGTACCCATTTGGCTCCTCGCGTCCCGCCTCGAAGAAAAAGCAGGCGTCGTCGTCAAGGCCCGATCAATTCTCGACCGAGCCCGCCTGGCGGTGCCCAAGAATGCAGAGCTCTGGACTGAATCCGTGCGGGTGGAACGACGCGCAAACAATATCAGTCAGGCCAAAGTGCTCATGGCGAAAGCGCTGCAGGAGGTACCAAATTCAGGTCTCTTGTGGAGTGAGAGTATCTGGAATCTCGAACCGCGTACGCATCGCAAGCCACGAAGCTTGGAAGCTATCAAGAAGGTCGATAACGATCCGATCCTCTTTGTGACAGTGGCACGTATATTTTGGGGTGAGCGAAAACTCGATAAGGCGATGACATGGTTTGAGAAGGCCATTGTCTCCAATAATGATTTGGGGGATGTGTGGGCGTGGTATTATAAGTTTTTGTTGCAGCATGGTACTGATGTAAGAATATATAGTTCCCCGCTCCCCTCACAACTCGATCATCGTCTTGTTTCACTGTTTACTAACTTGGTGCCCGTTTGGCTAACAGGAAAAACGAGAAGACGTGATCAGCAAATGCGTATCAAGCGAGCCTAAGCACGGCGAGATTTGGCAGTCAATCGCAAAGGATCCAGCAAATGCGGATAAATCGACGGAGGAAATCCTGAAACTCACGGCGGCGCGTTTGGAATAGAAGAAATTTTCATTTGGTGCACATGCACTCCTTCATTCCTGGCCTTCCAGTTATATTTGGATTATCAATTTGTTCTAATGGCTTGAAACTGAATTGGCGGCGGCATCGGTGTTGTTGGCTGGGGAGTTCTGGACACGGGAAATCTAGCGAAATACAATTATGTCTTTCATATTTGCTATAATGTGATGGCTATACCGACGATATTCGCATGGAAATACGTCTTGTATACCTTTGCTGAGAAAATTATAACTAACATGTTCAGATTGCATATCCGGAGTGTAGCGTCCCTGAGAAACAACTCATATTTAAGAGTATTCGTTGAAGCAAAATTTATTTAATTGAGCTTGTAACTACCAAGCATAGAAACGACATTAAGCAGGTCACAATAACAACAGAAAGAAATGACTATCATGAATGACGGATAATTTTTGTCATTGGTAATCCATACAAAAGTACCAGCCTGTCAAGATTTAACTATAGATACAGAAAATAAGAGCAAATGAAGAAACCAGAAGGAAAAAAAAACCAAAACCATTAATCACCTGTGCACCAACCGCCTGAAGATATCGAAACCACATAGAAGAATCATCCCACCAGAATTATCGTCAATAGTAATTATGCAGAAATGAGGTTCGAAGAGGAAACAGTTGAAACAGGAGGGCGGCAGTGTTGATAAACGTACTAAAAATGGATAATATGGTGAAATAAATGAAACCTGTCCCGAACGCCTCTATGAACATTCACCCACTCCAATGGTATATGCATATCGAAACCCCCCTTAGATAAAACGGACAGAAAGAAAAAGGATGGAAAAACAAAAATGCAAACAAAATTAAAAGCCATCTTACGCAGCCATGGAAAGGCAATCATCAAGGAGATTTGCCAGTTGCATTCGATCCTTGGAACTCGCCCCATCCCAGTCCCAATCAGCTTCATCAGTGTCCATTTCATCAGAGAAGCCATCGACACCATTTATGTTATTGCTTAGCTGGCTGATGCTTTCCATGTAGTCTTGTCGCTCAGCCTCAAGTTCCTCCTCGACGTATCCGCCTAATATCTCATCAACAACCAGTGGCATGTGTCCCAACAAACCACCGCCAAGTTCCAGGGCAAGTCTTAAGTCCGGAACACCAAGTGCCTGTCTTGTGTTTGCTTCCTTGGCTTCAACGGGGAGGAAGCCGCTTGTTGAATGCTTCACCAGCTCTCCCCGGGTGAACGCCATTTCCTCCCGCTCTAGCTGCCGCCGATATTTCCGTGTCGTGGTTCCATTGATTGTTCCTGAAGGTCCATTTAATCTTGTTCTTGAAAACACGGTTGAGAGGAACTCCTTGACAAAATTCTCGGTTGCTATTGACATAAACACTGCGCATGGGAATGAAGCCCCATTAACCACGGACTCCTCGTAGCATATAGGAACCATGCGCGCAAATATCGAATCTGCATCTGGAAATTCCCCAATTTCGGAGGCTAGAGGTTGAGCATAACGCTTCCGAATTTCAAGTTCCCAGTCTTATTATAACGTCAGCATCGGTTCTTCGTGATTTTGGCAATCGTATACTAGAATCCACTTACTTGTCTTGTTCAGCCCTCCCGCACTTGCAGGTATTTGGTCCGGAAGCCGAATCTGCTTGGCCTGGTGATACTCTTCAAGTGGGTTAGGTATGGAGTGAGGGTCCGGCTGTTAAATATATAAAACCATGGAATCGTTAGATCATCACCGCCACTTTAAATCCCGCTTTAAATATTGTGTTTGGAGATAACCCTACCTCAGGAATAGCTTTTAATCTCCGTCTCTCCTTAGGGGGTAGCTGTTTGATCTCTGTCTTAAGGCGCTGTTCCGCCGCGTCGCCCGATACGGGTTTTGATACGACTGTCGGTTTATCATTCGCGGAGACCCAGCTTGCAACGCCGTGGTCCGGGAGATCCCTCGTGAGATTGCCAATAATTGCGCATACGAAGTTGTTATGGAGGTGTTCAATCTTAGGGTCGGAGGAGAGAAAATGGTCGACTCGCAATGCGAATTCATTCTGGTTCAGATGGCCTTTTGTTTCAAAGTTAGAAAATGATTTCCTCTACCCAGGTAACACGCCAGATGAGATATATATAACGTACCAATGAGAAAAAGAGCTATAGTCTCCTTATACTCGGTCCAGTGTATGCCGATGGCCGCCTTTAGCTCAGTGTAAACAGGCTCAAGATCCAGGCGCGGAACTGAAATGAGAGCCTTTGCCGTCTTTTGCGTAGTTATCGGAGGCGGTGCAATGGGGTGTTTGATTGCGGGGACAGTAGATGACGTTGAGCTGGAGTTTGTCCCAGTCAGCGCGGCGGGATCGATCTGCATTGTGCTCCGAGACCAGGAGACCACCCGCCGCGAGGGCTGAAGCCAGTGGAAGTAGTGGAATGGTGAACTAGGCCCTCATTCAAAAAAAAAACAAAAATAAAAACAAAAAAAAATAGACAGATCTATACCAGATAGTGGATGGAATGGATGGATGAGGGTGGTTTAGCGATGGAAAATGCGAGATATCCGATACGCGATGGGTGATGGGTGATGGTCGTTGGTTGGGTCTCTTACATCGGCGTTGAGTGAAGCTTCAGAGAATGTGGGTGGAACTGGAAAAGTGCGTGGGTTTAGAGATTCAGAGGGCAGAAATCATTAAACAAACCACCAACATCAGGAATATGCATTTTAGCTACAAACTGTGGCAGGAATATTTTCATAGCCTGTGGGTATTTACAGTTCAGGTTGGTGTCTTTATTATTGTACTAGACAAATTTTAAGAGACGTTATAAGAAAACCTCTGCTACTCCAGCTTCAAAACATCTTCATCTAATATCCCAAAGAGCTTGCTCAGGTCCCCAATAATCGCCGTAATTTCATTTCCTAACTGTCCCGTAACTAGAGCTATATAGTGTTCAAAATCATTAGCATACCGGCGTCGTATATGGAGAATGTGCAGCAGCGGAAGCGCCAGGGAGACAGCCAAACATACCATATGCATAGAGTAAAGCATAGTCCTCATCTGTGGTCAATCGAGATGCACTGGTATCTTGGCGGAACCGGTGCAACCTCGCAAGAAGCCTATCTCGAGCATGATCTATTTCCGGGAGGGCATCATTCAGAGGGTATTCGAGTTTCATGGAGGATGCAACCACTGCACTGGATGTTAGTCCCATACACCAGTCAGGCAAGGCAGAAAATATGGCTGAACCATACCGGATAACAAATGACTTATTCGCGCAGAGAGCTGCATTCTCTCTGGCAAGGTATATGACAACATGGCCGCCTCTCCTTCCGAAGCAGTCAGATTTTTCATGATCTCCAGGTTCATAGCTTGGATGGCATCCAACATCCGTCGCGTTCGAGTAAGAAGTGATATATATATTGCCTCCGGAAACGGGCCGCGCAACTCAAACTCTGATCGTGCAGAATTATAAAGAGTCTCTAGGCTGACCATGAACCTCTGGAACTCAAGTTTCTCCCTGGGGGTGAAATATGCAATGGCTGAATTTCCATCTACCATCGTAGTGAGGGGTTCTCGTTTCCAGATCACGCTCATCCATAACCACAGCAAACTTAAGCCGCCTTTCAATTTTGTCCGTGCGCTGATAGGCCATATCACTCTCGTGATTATGATCCCCCAAAGAATTCCAGAAAGAACAGAGACGACACGATGGATAGCAATATCTACTACCGGAGGTGTTCTTCCTCCCTCATCTTCGCCATCGTCAATACCGTCGCGTGAGAGAGAATAGGCATATAAAACGGTGAGGTTATAAGTGAGCATGATGAAACGACCCATGGGACCGCGGTCTTTAATCAAAATAATGTGGGCAGTGCAGAATGCCATAACCCAGCAGATAAATGCCAGGGCAAACACTTCCCCAGAAGTTACCTTCCAGGCAACAACAGCGCATATTGCTCCAAACGTTGTCCCAAAAAATCTAGCAAATCCAGTAGTATTAGATGCGCCAATTGTCATGGAGCAAACAAGCATGTAAGATAGCAGGCCCCACTCCCCGCGCCAATATGAATAGAAAGGCCGCGTCGATGGCATAAAGGAGGGGAGTGCATAAATGGCCGCTCCGGCACCAACTTTGATAGCGAATTTTACATCATCTCGTCGAAAAACACGCAATGCTCTCCATATTTTGTACCTAACTTTTCCTTTCCTTGATAGCTCAGCTAGATCAACTGGCGATGTGGCAGTTTCTGGGATGCTGTAACGTTCAGGAGCGATACTTGTCTCCCCACGCTCCGTGGCTGACCCTGTTCAAGGTGATTGTTATCATTATTATCCAAGGATACAACTGTTTACTTGGCCAAATAAACTTACTGGTGGCAGAAGTCCACTTGTTGGTATGGTCGGGCGGGGTGGGACGCCAGAATTTAAGCCAGCCCCAGGACCTCCCGTTGGGACGCTCTTCCGTTTCCAAATGGAGTTCGTCTAATATCTCCAGAATTTCTTTGAGTTGCTCAGTAAACGCTTGGAGTGAGAAACTGAAATGACCACAGCTTGCCGCAACCTCTTCCAGGTCCGCCTCCATCTCAACGGACTTAGTCTTAACAGAATCTTTCTGCAAATAAACGAGATTCAGTGCATCATTTCGCGCATTGCGATATAAATCCAAAGCTCGATCAAGACTGATCCGAAATTTGCAATTAACGGCAACTTTATACTCCGGACCGGGGCCGTAAGGAAGCTCTCTAAGAATTTCCGTCACTGTATATGACAACGATCGCTATCACCAAAAAGAAAATCGTCAGTACATGGCTAAAAAGGCGAGATTTGAAAAATAGCGAGGCGACTAGGCTGTGTGTACCATGGAAGGCCCAAGATGAGCAATGAATCTCTCAAAAATATCTGCGGGTGCCTGTGTCCCAATCGAGTCCTGCTCATGACCCGGAGTTGGCTCGTCGCTTTGTAACCTTTCCAGACCAGGTAATACTCTCCTCGTTTCTTCGTGAGCGGATCGTGGAAGTGGTGAGAAAATTGAATGGCATAATTGTGTGGTAAAATAAGATGATGGTCCTGCCGACATTGGAGTGGCATTCCTATTAGTTTGGTGTGATTGTCTCAGAAGGTCAAATTGAAGGTTAGCGGCGCTCTGAAGGCCTCCGATATTCTGAGTGATATCCTGAATAGCCCGAACGAGTTTTTTTTCCAGACGATATTCCCTTTCCGTTCCGGCAAGGTAGTGTTCAACTTTTTCCTCTTTGAGCCACTTCTCGACCGTTACATATGCCTTTTTGTTCCTGTTTAAAGCACTTTGAAACGAGTCCTGCTTGAGGTGTTCCGCGGAGCCTTGCAGGAAGCTCTCAGTGATGATCGCAAGCATAGTACCCAGCGAGGCTGTCATCTCAACCAGATCCTTTCGAAGCTTAGTCCTAGCTGATACGGGGAATATCAGAAAACAAACAGCCGTCGTGGCTATAACTCCCATCACGACCATTTTCAGAACCTGGACGATTTTAACTAGGGATAAGTCGCCCTGTTGCACAGCTCCCTCCTTTGTCAAAACATTAATAATAGCCAAAGATGTAAGAGAGCAGGCCACATTCACCAACGGGTCAGCGCGCCGTAGCTTCACCCATCCCACAAAGCCCAGGCCTCCACCGCAGAAAACAAGGAGAACGATCGCATGGCCAAGCGGGAGGAGGTCGAGTTTGTCCTCAAAAAACACCGAAATCCCCATGCTAGTCACCGATATCAAAGCTGCATAAATAAACGCCAAGAATGCGTATATCGTCGCCAATATCATGCTACCCTTCGTCCTTGCTGGGTGGAAGTAAACGGTGACCGTAGCCACCATATGTTTTCCATCTTGCTGTCCAAGGAAATCCGCAAATGCCGGTAGAAATGTCCCAAGGGTGCCAATCATATATGCGATGCTGCATTTCAGCACACCCTTGCCGAGTTCAGACGTGATAAATGGGTGCAGAGTATGGGTGAGGCTTCTATATTTTTGATAGCATTTGTGCCAGACGCTTTCAGTCTGAGACTGGGGAGCTGCGCGGCGTTCAAGCAGCGGTTCACGCTCCTCCTGGTCATCGTTTTCTCTGTAGGATGATAAGTTGAGAAGGCCCCTGAGGCGCTGCCCGGTTCGAGGAAGGATGAAGGAGGCGTGGTTTAGCTGGGAGAATGATCACGGTCAGCATGATTCTGCGAAAACGGGAGCGGCTCGACTGGGCCGTCAACAGAGGTCAAGAACAGTTACATGGGGTCTGGGGAAACGACCAGCATTGGATGTTGCTCCTGACATCACATCTGGAATATTTTCGTCATGGCTTGGAGGTAAACATGGGCGGGGAGGAGATAGAATCTGCCAGGAGCAGAAGCTCACCTTGACCATAGCATATATATAAAAAAGCTTGATGGATGCACAGATCAGCGCCTATTTTAACTAACTAGTGAAACAAGCAACTAAATTCAACTACGCAGTAACTAATGCGCCGCGTTTATAGGGTAGCTACATAGATGCGGTGTGGAGGAGTCTCGTATTTAATAACTACCAATTGGGCTTTCTTTTGTCAAGCCGCAAAAAGCAGGCGGTTAAACAAGACCAGCTTTTGTTAAGCACCACCTCATATGTATGTGATGACGGATTTGATGACGGATATCGTTTCGTTGTCCTGCCATTCGGGAACGGTGTAAATACGCTATCTAGATCACGTGCAGCAGGACGGGCCTTCTGACGCTCCGGGGCCAACAATATAATGTTATTCAGCCATAGTATGGTCTAAGCTGATAAAACTCGTATAAAGAGCAATCCAGTTTTGGGTAGCTTACTGGTGATGTCGTGCTTGGGAAAGCTACGATTAGGTGCCGTGATGTATTCATGGATATAGTTATAGCAACTAGTGTATTTCGGAATCGAGTAGTTAACTAAATAATATCATTCGATGCTAGGTTGGAATCCACAACATGTTCAATATGAGCAAGGAGAAAAACACACAGGTAGCTCATCGAACTTCACTCTCTTCTTCTATTTTAGGTTCTCCAGTTTCCATATCTTAACCGCAGCATCAGCTCCAACAGATGCGATCTTAGTGCGATCAGTAATCCACACCACTCCATTAACCCCTTCCTGGTGAGCGTGGGCCACAGTCAGCCATTCCCCCGGACAAGCCAAGCTCCAGACGAAGATCCTCGTGTCGAGACTTCCGCTGGCCAGATGACTGCCTTCAGAATTCCACGCGAGAGAATTGATCCGTGCGGTATGAGAAGTCCACCGGTCGGTGACAATGGTACCATCTGCGGTCCTATAAACCACGATGCGCCCGCGTGAATCCCCCACAGCCAGCATTGAACTATTGGGAGAGAATGCAAGACTAGTGACGGCATCTCTCGAAACTTTTATTTCCACCGAAGGGGAGAGGATGTTATTAGCAATAGAGCAGATTTGGACGGACGAGTCGGCGTATCCGATTGCGGCACTGCTGCCGTTCGCAGCAATTCCATTGATAGTTGACTTGGAAGGACCGAAATCCCCCACTTTAGATCCGTCTTTAAAAATCACAATACCGTTCTCCTTTGCAACAAGAACGATGTTGTCTCCTGCGGTGACGACGTTCTTTGGCTGGCTGGCGAGCTTGGTGGCGCTTCCATTGTATGTGTTGGAAGATGCATCGACGGCGCGAATTGTGTCGTCCCACCCGACACTGTAAATGTGACCATTGCCTTCCTTCGTAGCTGCTAGGCCAGTAATATAATTAGGATGCCCCTGGCCATCAACACGCTCTGCGGAACCCTGTGTCAGATCCCAGTTGTATACCTTGCCATCAATACCCCCAGTCCAGAGAGTTTGCTTGTCACCGACATCATATCTGGCGAAAGCGGTAATCTCCTTTTGCTGGCTTTGGACGATGCGAGTTAACTTCTCATTGCCTTCAACTAGGTAGTTAAGATCACCAGTGAGAGATAGGCTGATAATCAGGCCATCACTTCTTCCATTAGGCCAAACAACTCCGACCTGCTGATCTGATACGCTAACCGCGACGTCCCCGCCCATCTTCCAATTCTGGACGACCTTCCCCTGCTCAACGTCCCAAACCTTCACCGTCTGGTCCGCACTCGCTGTGACAAACTTGCGAGAATCCGGTGACCAGGAGACGCCCAGTATACTTCCCGTATGTTCCCCAGCACCTATTTGGGTCTTTGTCTCCCCCGTTTTCCCGTCATAGAGCCAAATTCGCCGATCTGATCCAACACTAACAAGATTCGCACCATCTGGACTGAACCCAAGACCGCAAACATAATTGACATGATTTTCACTCGCTCGCGTGTTTACCCTGAACGGCACTCCATGATAGAAGTTGACATGCATGTCATCTCCAGCAGTCGCGGCGCGAATTGGCCGCTGCTGCCGAATCGCTACGGCATTAACTCTCCGGGTGTGACCTGTAACTTCACCGCAAGAGTTGCCACTGTCTGCAGTAATACAACGGCCATATTTCTCTCTTCCATCGCCCACCGCTATGATCCGTTGCGAGTCCCCATCCCACGCTAGATCGTTGATTCGACCACTCACGATGAAGTATTCCCCTTTCGTAGTGCCCTCTCCAACACAGTCCCATACCCTGACTGTGCCTGCCTCATCGCCGCTGGCAACGTAGTAGCCGGACGGAGAGAACCGCGCGACTGTTGTTGGTGTCTTGTGTCCTGTATATTGTCTCGAAATTGAAGGGTTGTCGATGGATCGGAGGAAGATGGATTTGTTCGACTAGGTTTTCTTAAAGGTCAGTTATGAGGTGTAGAGTCTCGAGTGGTTGAATAGTAAACGGAGAAACCAATCTTATTCTGTTCTTGACGTACCGCATAAGCCAACCGCTCGCCTTTCGAGTCGCATGCAAGCTGTGTTGGCTGTGCTCTTGCGGTGGAGGGGCTCGGGGCCAAGATGAATTCTATATGCTAAGGCGTCAGCAATGATACCAACCTGGTACCAAGTCTCGGGGAACAGTCCATACCATTTTCAATGGACATTTCGCGTAAAATTAAAGAGATGGCTTATTAGAAATTTGCAACAATGGTTTGATTCATGAACATAAGATACAGATTCTTGAGTTGTTGACGATTGCGTAGCCTGAAACCTTGCTGACTATGGTGGGGTTAATTATCAAGTGGGTTGCCATGGTCGAGGTCCCTTGACAATAACTGTGTGAGCCGCCTCTCCAACAGTCAACATTAAAGCCAATTGAAGATTCATGCAAGCAAGAAAGAAAGAAGAAAAGAAAAGAAAAGGCAATAGCGAAATTTATATCTACAAACACTATGATACAGATCTAATACGTCTTCCATCTCCAATAGTGCGAACCACAAATCCAAAACCCTAACCCCAATTCCAGAGTATACAAACATATATATCAAGGGTTCAGCCCTCGTTGTATCTTCATTCTGGCCTCCGCAGCCATAATTTCAGGATGTCTGTGAACGCTAGGCATAAGCCCCAGGGCTACAGCGCGTCGAATGGCTTTGGATATCCTGCGCTGGTTGACTGGTCGTAATCCAGTTTCGGAGGAGTGTCTGATGCGGCCCATCTCGGTTACATACTCAGACATGACGGCAAAATTCTAGTGTTTGACAAGCAGGAAACGATTAGCTAAAGCTTATTTTAGCTATAAGACGTGAAATGGTATATAATATATATAACGGGATATATAACATAACGTAGGATATCAACTACATACCTTGTATAGATGGAGAGGGTTCAGGGATAACGCATCGAATGCATCAGTCGACGGACTTTTCTTACTCTTCCATTTCTTCATTTCTGCGGGGCTCAGGTCGTGCGGCGAATATACATCGCCAGTCTCCCAAAAGCGCTTTTGCTGCCTTTCTAAAGCACGGGCTCGTTGCTGTTGGATAGCCTGCCGTTCAAAATTTTCCTTCATGGCCTGCTTCTTCATCGATTCACGTTGGCTTCTTTCTGCATGCAGGTCATTTGATGTAAGAGGGTGTTATATGGCATGCTGGACTAGAACATTATAATAAGACAATTTTCCATTACATACCCGCAAATCGACTGTATGAATTCCATCGTTGCTGGGGCGCTTGCAGGGTAGGATTGCGCGAAATCTGACGGGAAAAAGAGCATATTGGACTGGTCTTGGACGCCATTGTGCATCCCCCAATCCCACCCGAAATCGAATTGAGGCAATACAGATGCTGCTGGGGAAAAATGCTAGAAAACTCTGTCGAATTACGATTGTTGTAAATATTTTGATGCGGGCTTAGTTAACTGGAAGAATTTGGAAGATCAATAAAGAGCCAAAGATTTTCCCCAAAGCGGTGAGGGGCAACAGAAAAATAGCACCCTGGACTATTTCAAGGTTCAACAGTTGAACTATCGCAAATTCAAAGAAATATGAGGAATAGCTCCATCAAATGATGTATTGACTAGTTGTCGACATCTGGGGATAAATTGCTGAAACTCATCACCCCATAGCTCCCCTCTCTCGGTTTAATTTATGCTGTTTGTGTTCTTGGGGCATGGTTTAAAATGTGCATTTGGTGAGCTCATTACCCACCCGGTGCATATATGCACTCTACGGAATGGGCCGAACTGATAATATATATAGCAGCAGAAATAAGCAACCATGCGATCCCATCCCTCACGGAGAACTTTCCGCGCGATTATAGAGAACAGACCATGGACTCACCTTCGATGCCGCAGGAGGCTGGGATTGTTCGCTCCCGCTCCAACCTCCCAATGCCAGTCGCTCTACAGCATCCAGCGCAGATATCTTTTCAGCTTTCCTAGTGTTACTCTGGCAGTTGCCCAACAGGAAACCAAAAAGGGCCATTCTGCAGATCATGGGGCCAAACGAATGGTGGAGTTGGTGGAAGCATTGGAGCAGAAATCTCGTCCCCCGCCACCAGATATCATCGCCAGGGCACTCTCGTCCTTCATCCAGCAACGACTGGAAACCCCTATGTCTATAACAACGAACCAAGTCAGATTCCTACAAAAGGCATTGCATTATTTAAATGGTGCCACAAGGGAAGAGCAATTCGCGCATTTGGCTCCGGATATCACACAGTTGATAGATATCCTGAAGGCAATATCACAATCAGAATGGGAGGCGGATGCCCAAGACGACGTACGCATTCTCGCTAGATTTGCTTATGGAAAGATCTGCTCCAGGGTAGCCAGAGAACCCGGTAATGCGGGACATCCCAGTGCGGAGGCTATGTATCCATACTTATATATATTGGCTTCCACTGGGAAATCTGGCGAAGCGCTGTGCTTGATTGAGGGGCATTGGGAAAGTGTTTTCGTCAACGAAGGAACGTTGCCTTGGATAACTGTGGCAAAAGGTTCTTTGAAAGATGAAGGCAAAGGCGAGTCCATGATACTTAACGTCCTGGAAAAGATGACAAGCCGAGGTATTCGATTAGATCAAGAGTCCCATGAAACATTGACGCTGGCAGCAGCAAAAGAGGGAAATGGCAAAGCAGCTAGATCTATCTATGAATTGAGCCTTACCCACTCGGTAGAGCCCACTCTCGCAGCCACAATAGCTGTTGCGAAAGCTACAATTTGGGATGGTAGTGCAGAATGGGCTTCCAGGCTCCTCAAGCATCTTCGCCAGAGCCCAACCCCAGAAATAAGGGATGCTGTTTTGCTATTAGCGGTCAAAGAAGGAGGCGGAGCTGCTGATGTTGAGAAAGAGCTGACTGACTTTCGTGTCATGAACCCTGAATTACAGTTTAGCTTAACGATATCCACTTTCAACAAAATCTTGGCGTATCTGGTTACAAGGTGCAAGCGCAGCGATGTGGAAGATTTTGTTGCTCTTGCCGAAACATGGGGTTTAGAGCCGGATACAACTACCGGCATGTTAAGGGTGACTGCACGTTTGCGGAATGGCGATACTGATGGTGCAATGTATTTGTTTGAGGAACTGGATTCAACAGAGCTGACTGAAGGAGACAATCTTCCTTTGTGGAATGGAATTGTGAGATATCTTTGTTCGGTAGCGGAAGATGAACCTGATGACAAGACCGTCCTCGCTTTTCTCGACAGACTCTTAGAGCTAGACGGCCAATTCGAACCTGCGACCTTGGAAGCACTTTGCCAGATGTTGCTCTCCCGCCACGACCTAGAAGGCATCGCGGACCTACTGAAACCATTCGCTAGCACTTACAGCATACCAGGACTTTCACAGGTTCTAAAACCGTTCTCTTATTTTATTGCGGACCAGAATCAGCCTACGGACACTGCCTGGAAAGTCCACGAGCTGCTAACCCGCCTAATCCCGTATGCCCCTGTGGACTTTTGGACGAAAAGCATGCTTGTTTTTTTCAAGCGAGACCGACCGGATCTTGCATGTCTAGCCTTTGGCCACATTCGTAAAAAGACAGCCCCGCGCGATCGACCTACATCCTCAACATACGCGTTGTGTTTCAGTGGTATCGCTAAAGCGGGTTATTCTGAAGGCCTTTTCCTCATCCACAACATGTTGAAACTTGACCTCGAGATAGCAATTACCACGCCACTTCTAGACAGTCTTGTGCTTGCATATGATGCGTGCGGAGAACCTGAGAAAGCGATGGAGTTCTTCAGAGAGATTCTCCATTCGGAGGAAGGTCCCTCTGAAAACTCTCTGGCATATTTCTTCCGGCTGTGTGGCACCTTTCGCCAAGGCCTAGATGAAGCGGATCAGATGTTTAGGAAGTTAAAGTCACTGGATGTTCCCCTGAATAGGATGGCATACACCAATTATATCCGCACTCTTGCTCTGCATGGTGAGCTTGAGCGTGCTACGGACACCATCAATGCAATGTATTCAGAAACTGAAAATCACCCTACGGAGTATACGTGCGTTACTAATTTTTCCCAACAACCTTCCTCCCAATAAGATCCCATCCCATCCTTATCTTTTATATTTACAAATTACTGTTTTAGCTAACCATGTTTTCCCTCACTTTACCCTCAACAGCATTGGGATCCTCTATAACTCTCTCCCGACACAAAAATGGCGCGATCAAGCCGAGTCATGGGCCAGGGTCACCTATCCACACCTGTGGACTGAACTTGAAAAGAAACCTACAATCGTAGATGAAGACCATACAATTCGCTCGTTCGTTTTATCCGATGAAGGTCAAGGATAAAAATCTTAAGTGCAGTAGTGCAGTAGCAGAGAAGAAATAACTTAAACAAGAGAGCTAGTTCCAGTCTGGGGATTTGATTGTCGGGTTCTGCCTGTATCTTGTGTGCCGCTGTAGTCCTAGTGCTCAGGGGTTGGTAGAGCTGTACTGTACATGTACCTCTACATCTGTATGAAATGCCGCATATTTTGGGATGTTGATATTCTCCATGCCTTGTTTGAAATGGGCATGCGTGTTTATTGATTCGTTTTGTATATTATGTAGATAGATGTCTCTATCATTTTCGCATGAAACATTGAGGATAGGTTGTACGCATGAATTTGTTATGATGATTAGGGGGAGGAAATGTATAAGCTAAACCGATCAGCTAAATATAATAAATCTCTTATCGAAGATTGGTATATTATTTTCCTGATAACTCAATAGCTTTCAAGAGCGTATATATAATTTTAAAGCCTTTTCTCCTTCCCCCCCCCCTTTTCCCTCTCCATCGTCCCTCGTCCCGTCTCCTCTACCTCCCTTAGAGCCCCCTTTCCATATCCACAAGCCCTAAAATCACAGTTTCCAGCCCCTGAAAGGACAATCAAGTGAAACAAATAACACACAGCACAATAAACCTGGAAGCGCTGAGGAGTCCAATGGAGATTGTAATGCATTTGCTTCCAACAACGAACCAGCTCCCAGGGCGGTAAAAACAGAGGCCTAATTAGTTACAGCTACGACAATTTGTAATCCGCTTCACCAAATACATGAATTGTTTGAGGAAACAGAAAAGACAAGGTGGGAAGGATGGCGTTGAAAAAGGCTCATTAAGGGTAACCATTATCACTTCAGTTTGGAGCTGATAGCATGCAAATACAAACACTAAACAAGCGGGGATATCTCCATCAAAACATAATCAAGTTAAAACACGCATTTCCCATTACGATAAACCTCGCACACACCGCGCCACAGTAGAATATACATTTTGCTTCAAGAGACAAAAACAACAAACCCAGAGGAAGAAAGAAAAACGGAGGTAGAACAAGGGATTGGGAAGATTCCACCACAAATAGTTTCAGTGAAACATAAAACCAACAGTAAAAAAGATTCAAAGCAGATAAAAGGACAAAGCGCAAGAAAGACAACACCACAGAAACCGATCAGGAGTCGTCCATTACATCTTCCCCGTACAGGAAGTCCTTGCTCTCTCGTCCTCCCAGTCTCGGATGCCAAGAAACAACACCACTGGATTCTAATTTGCCATCACTTCAGCGGCAGCCGGCGCGGGCGCGGTTGCGGGAGCAATAGCAGCATCATTCCCAGAGCCAACAGTAGACTCAACAGCCGCATTCAAAGCATTCTCCTTCTTAGTCGCTTTCACTCCTTTTTTCGTCGCGGCTGCGGGATCCTTTGGCTTTCTGCCAGGTTTCGCCGCTCCACCTTCAGCCTTGGGCTTCGCAGTGGTGGGCATGGCTGCTTTCTTGGTGACGCCCACTGAAGCAGAGGCCTTGGGCTTTGGACCACGCTTGGAACCGGAAGACGTTGATGTCGCCTTTGGCTTCGTCTCGTTGCCAGCTTTTTGCTTTGCTGCGGTGTTGCTGCT